CTGCGCTTAGAAGAAGGCTCCTGATGGGGAGCAGTTGCCTGGCGCTTGTTCCGCAAACCATCTGGGGCAAAAGAGCCCATCGCAGAATGATCGTCTTGAGCTTCGGGCCCGTTCTTGAGAACCTCAAAATCAACAGTTAAACCCCCCCTGCTGCCATCACCCATTGTGAGGGAGGGGGTGGAACTGGCGCTCCCAGGAGTAAATGTGTCAGATACAGTATGAGGGGTTGAAGCGGAACTCCCACTATGCAAAGCAAGGCGCGGGTTGGGCGGAGTCATAGGAGCAGGCACTCTTCTCATGTTTGCCTGCTTGCCAGGTGACATCTTAAGCGGCACATCTCTACGACGAGATGAGCCCCCCTTGGCAGGAGAACCGACACTGTTTACAGGGTCTTTGTTGGTCGAGTTAAAGGACACCGCGAGCAAGTCAAGATACCCAGGCTGCTGGGTTTCCTCATCTGGAAAGGTATAGAAACCATCAATGAAGAGCCTGCTCTGAGTGCGCAGGTTTCCGCTACCGAGAGTGCGATCAAATTTGGGAGACTGTTCAGCGTAAATATATTGAGTCTTTGTACGGGTTTGCGAAGCTTTGAAGGCTCTGTCGTTGCGTAAGGCTGGAGGGGCGGGATCGCCATAGTACCCAGTGAGCTTCGCTTCGAATTCGAACGTGCGAGTAGCGTCTACAAATCGCGGTGTGCAAGTTAACTCCGCTGCCGCATTGATACGCAACTGATGGATGGGCAGACAGTCCGTTGCCAAAGGAATAGCGTCAAAGGCAGTAAACTGTATAACGATCAGCAAGCAACTTGCGGAGGGTGAATGAAGAACGGTGTAGCATCAAAGGACGGGGTCAGAGAAGAGAGAGAATACTTGCCTTAGGCGCCTCTGCCTCGTCATTCCCTGGAAGCCGAGCCTGACCGCGGATCATGTATGCTCGCCCAGTGTCCAACAGATCACCATAGAACGCGATATGAAAGCTCCTCCAGTCCCCTGTTGAGACACCACTGCTGCCTTCCTCGAACTCACATAGGGCATTGTGATATGGGGAGTCCAGGATTCTACCTACCTCAGCTACACGGGCGAGAACAGTGAACCACGTTGACATAATAGGAGAGGGCAATAGAATAGGGTGAATACCATATGGGTTTTAGGTCAGGCATTGTGGCTGGAACTTTGTTAAGAAGTGTTGGATATTGAGGGCAGTGAGAACCTTGACGGTCTTTGGCTATGTTGAGAACCTTGAGAACCTCGAGAACCCTGAGAGCATCTATGAATCCTCAGGCATCAAATTTCTAACGTTACTGAGGTCATACTGAGGTTATGCCGAACACCAAGCCATTAGGCCCGAGGATGGGAAGTGCTGTAGTGATGTGAGGATTGAGGAGAAAAAAGGTTGACATCGCGGCTAGGGAAAAAAACGTCCCGTAGTATGGGGCATATGTTTGAGGGAAAACCGCCGTAACTGACGACTTTCAAGCTACGGGGACCACAGGGGAAGAAGATCATTTTTCTCATTTTCTCATTAATATGCGGCTGTACCATGATGTGTTGCCAATGCATCATAGCACGTAGCATGTAGCACGAAGCACGCAGCACGTAGCACACAGCACGTAGCACACAGCACGTAGCACACAGCACGTAGCACACAGCACATAATCTTAGTTCGCCTCGGGAAGTGATCAACTATGGCCCAAAATGGATGGAATTACCCAAAATGGGATGGCTTGACGCTTAGCGAGGGGCACCTAGATTAACCATGCTTATATGCTTATCTGGCACGCTCGGCGCCATTTTACTCGATCTTTTGTGGTCCTCCAATTGTGTGACAATCTATCTATGTGTGCCCAACCTGCTGGCTTCGGTTTCGGGGCTTGATTTGCACATGGCGACCCCTAGCTCGCTACCTTCTCTGCAAGGATCTACTATCGTAGTCCGCCCCTACACCGATTCCCAGCCAACGAGGTGCTGTACCAAATGCCGCAAGGACTTCCCCGAGACGTCCGCGTACTTCAAAGCATTTAAAAAAGGAGGGTTTGCTGCTACGTGTGTTGATTGCACGTCTAGATATTCTGCTGCGAAAAAGGCCAAAGGACGAAGTGCACAAGGGTTCGTCTCTACAGAAACTCGTGGCCGAAAGAGAAGGGTGCTGGGAGAGACGTGTCCAAATGTGCAGCGGAAAGCGCCTAGGCTTGCACCAAAAGTGCCTGCACGATGGGATTTGGCTTCGCAACGCACGAAAGAACAGATGAGATCGAAGGCTGCTAGGGAACGACTGAATCGCTATCGACGAAACAACAACTCCACACCTGTGCCAACCCACTCCGCTGAGATGGACCTTCCAGCGTTCTCATCTATTCCATTACCCTCCCAAACGCCACCTCCCCCTACTCCGCCTCCTGCTCTAGGCGAAGCTCCTATATCAGACATAGATTGGTCGCATATCAATACGTTCCACGAGTATCTGAGCAGCCAAGAGATGGAGACATGTGCTCGCTGCAGAGAACGTTGGTTTCAAATGAGGATATCTAATGGTGTTTGTGGTGCTTGCTTAAGACGGGACATGAATTTACAGGGAGGGGCGCCCTTTCTGTTCAGTAAGGACAATAATATGGATCCAGGGGTTGTCCCTGAGTGTTTGCGGGACTTGACTCAGATGGAAGAGATGGTAATTGCAAAGGCACATTGCCACATGATCGTGAAGCGTGTCCGGGGTCACCAATATCACTATACTGGGCATGCGGTCTGCTTTTGGCAGAGTAGTGTGACCTTTATCGATGCTCTTCCATCTCGCCCTCAGCATGTCGATATCGTGCTCTTACGCCCTCATGGCGCACGGATGGGCGAGGACAGATATAAACGTCAGTTCAAGAACGATTTTCGCGTTCGTCGAGGCTACGTGGAGAAGGCTTTACGTTGGTTAAAGCGCCACCACCCGGACTATCGTGATATCACTATTTCCCAACCGAACCTATTAGCCCTTCCTGTCGATGGTGACGTGTCTGATCATGTGCTGAATATCGAAGAATCTGAGGAGATCAAGGATAACGAACCGGGAAGGCAAGGACATAGCAGGGCTTGTGGGGAAGAGGACGAACGCGGTATTGACGGGGATATCCCTGGCCCGTCTCAAGAAACCGTGGTCCCTAATCTCGACATTCGCCAGACCGAAGCAGAGCTTGTGGAAGAGGCTTTTAATAGGAGGAGAAAACCTCCTATCGCTCAAGCGCCAGAGATTAGGCAAACTCCCATTGATGAGTTGGGCAGAAAACACCGCCTGTTTGCTATGTGTTTCCCTACTTTGTTTCCGTATGGCACGCATGGCAAGCTGTACCCGCTTGCATTCTTGCCATGAATACGATTCCATGTCTACTTGCCCTGCTACGCATTACAATTTATGCAAGACACCTGTTTATCTGTTAGTTTTTGCATAAAGCCCAAGGAGATAAAAGTGAAGGACTTATTATATAAAGTATAAATTATTACATGGTTCGCCTCAAGGCTGAAACTTCTTCCTTTTTTTTATACCACTACAGCAGTCTCTTATTATCTGTCGAGTGACGAGTTATCACGTCTCTGGTCTTGAATAAGTATCCTGCTGCTTTTAAACCCTGCGCGTTCAAGTCCTGCACTTGTATTTTCTTTCTTCTTTTATAGAACCAAATTAAAGAAGGCCTAAAGACAGTATCTTAACATGGTCCGAATCACTAGTATTGCACTCGTGGCTTGTACGTACATAGTCTTCCTTTCCATTTTTTACTAGTCCCCTTACACGTGCTCTCCAAGAGGCCACCGCAGCGTTGCACTACCAGACTGTAATCCAACGAAGTTTGCTAATACGGAACCCCCCTCTTCTTAGTTGCTACCTCTGCTTTGGCGGTGCCTGCTAAACCTGGGTTCGATGCCACTCCCGAGGTTGGCCGAGAGCATGCCCTCGTTCTGCGTCAAGAGCCTCCTCCTGCTGAACCTCCGGTTGAAGAGCCAAAGCCTGAAGAGGTAAAGACTGCCAATGCAGATCTAGCCGTGCTGTTGCAAAACATTTTAGATGTTATGGGAAGCCTTAACGAGGACATAAAACAGGGCAAAGTACAACTTAATACCGAGACAAAGCTTTCGCCTGAAGAACAGAAGATTGCCCTCGAAAATATACAGGAGGGGATTTTTCAATCGCCATGCCCGGTAAGCAGGTCCTGGCTGACAGCCGAAGCATCCATCCTGTGAACACCCCACTTCGCCTTCTTGTTGAAACAAGGCCAGCCGTCCCCAGGTTTCCTGCCCGCTACTCCATACTCTACTTTGCTATATACATGTCTTCTGTTGGAGAATCCCATGTGATATCCAGTCTGTTTCATTCCTCAATTTTTCTCATTTATTTTCTTGAGAGTTTTCTGTTTCACATCCTCATGTTGTGGCTCTGTCGGTGCCCGAGGGCACCATGTAATGCGACCGTGATACCTGCAGTCTCCCCCAGCCATCGGCTCCACAGCTTCATCTGTTTGCTGGTCTCCCCCATGCCCCTAGGGTTCTGTTCGTGCTCTGTGTTTTGTGCGTTTCTATTTTGTTGCCTCCGACCGGGTTCCTATGTGGCCATGTGTTCGTTCCATTAACGCAACCACTGGCGACGCTGACCATAGCCAGCATCATCCACCTCATGTAGCGCAATGCTCCGCTCGTTTCGACATGATGAATTACTGAGTATGAGAACTCCCACACTTGTCGGATAATGGTGCCTCTGTTGTCTGACCACGCAACCGTTTTGCTGCCTGGGGGGCAAAAGCAGTCGTAATACTGCTGCCTAAAGGCAGCAGTATTCCGAAAAGTATTAAGGACCTTGAGTTTCCGCTGTGTAGGAAAAAAGACAGATTCAGGAATATACAAGAAGTGCAACCGCGTAACGCGACAGTTATGAGCCCGGGGCCGCGCTCTGGGTAATATCTACACTGCCAAAACTATTTCAGGAACCCTTAGGGTTAGGGTTATACACAGCTAAGTCCTATCGCAATAATGCCTCCTATAAAATCAGAAGTCATCCTTACAGGAATTGAGAATTGGGATGACTGGAAAGCGTTTATTACAACTAAGATTCCGGCAGATATCTGGGCTGCAGTTAAGCCAACCAACAGAACCAAGACGCTTATAAATGAGCCAAGTCGTCCACAGGCATCCGACTTCAATGAGACAGCTGAAACTGAAGCCGATCTAGACGCAACACAGATCAAGGCCTTCAAATTGTCATATGAAATCTGGAAAGAAGATAACAAGACCTACGAAAAACAAACAACCGGCCTGCTCAAAGCAAAAGAGGCAGTCTTTGCTAGTGTGGATGAGAAATTAGCCCGCTACCTAGACCCAGAAGACAGTTTAATCGACTGGATAGACTGTCTAGCAAGAGCAGCCAAAGCCGAAGAAACAAAGGTCATCCAGAACCTCGCAAGAGAATATAGAGAGCTTCTTCAGTCATTTAGTTGCTCTGATCTTAAGACCTTTGAAGACTGGATCTGGAAGTGGGAAAACTACCTGCTAAAGGCAGCACGGCAGCAGATGCTAGAAGTTAAAGAAGGTCGTTGGCTCTTTGACATAGCAGACCTAATGACCAAGCATAACACAAGCTTTTCGGATAACTGCAGGCAAGTAGCCAACAGTACAGCAACCACAACAAAGGAATATGAAAATGCACTTCAAGTAGTCGCTGCACAGATCAAAGAAATTGAATCCCCAAACCGAAATATCCTACGGAATGATCACCTCGAACGGCTACAGATCGCAATAACAGCTATACAGACAGCCAAGAAACCGCTGGACTGCATGAATGCTGGCCAAGAATGGTCCATTGCAGATGTGGCTGTTAAACTGCGAAGCTGGGCTAGCTCGGCCTTGTCAGCACAGGTGAAAACACCTATTAGACGGGGAACAGCTTTTCAGGCTACTGACAACGAACATAACGATGACGCCGGCACAAGGAAGGGACGATCTAGCAGGAAGAGACCTAGGTCAGAAGAGAACGAAGGAAGCGATAAAAGACAGGCCACCAGTTGTGAAGCCTGTGGGGCTCCTTGGCATGACCTTAATTCTTGCTGGAATGCGATCCCTGAATTGAGACCAAAAGGGTCTACGCCGAACGAGCGTTGGGTTGGCGTTGTCAAAAGAGCATTAGCTAAAGACCCGGAGTTAAAAGCCAAAGTTGACAAGATACGAGAAGCAGCTAAACGCAAAGCCAAAGAAGAGGATGGATCAGACTGACGGCACGAAAGCCCTCAAGTCAAGGGACGGATCGTGGGGCAAGCACTTCCACAAGGGGCGGCATTTCCTGTCTGCCTAGGGAGCTGCTTACAAGTCGACAGATATCCCCTACGGTCGTCAACTATCCTTGATTGTGGGGCTACCTTACACATATTCAATGACCTAGGAAAATTCCGGTCAATAAGGAAGCCAACCTCACATGACTACCTCATAGCTGGAGACTCGGAAGTCCAGATTGAAGGTTACGGCCGTGTTGATCTTCCGATCACTAGGTTAGATGGAAGCAAGGGCATTTTACGAATCAAGAAAGCTGCGTACTGTCCGACCTTTGCAGTCAATGTCGTATCTTTCCAATGCCTTTATGACCAAGGAATACGTTGGGATACACTTGCAACCCCAACGCGGCTGGTTCATAAGTCTGGGTCAATAGTCTGTATAATTGAACGACGGCACAGACAGTGGATTCTGCACTACCAAGACACAACGGAGATCTCTTTAAAAGCAGCAGAAGCCTTCATGGCTCGACGAAAGAGACGAACGAGTCGAGATCCAAGACCAGATGCTATAGCAGATGGAACATTGTGGCACCGGCGACTGGGCCATCCGAGCCCAAAGGCAATAGAGCATCTCGGAAAAAGATGTCTCGGAGCCTGGTTGCGTGGACCAAAGACGGTTGAATGTGACCACTGCGGGCAAGGCAAGATGCGCCGTCAGATATCTCGGAGGCCGTCCCGACCAGATAAGCCATTTGAGGAAATCTGGATTGACTGGACCGATCTTTCCGAGGACTATCAGGGCTACAGCCGAGTGATGTTTATCACAGATGCATATTCAGGCCTAGTTTTTCCCTATTTCCTTCAAAGCCACGGGCTAGGCAGAGAAAATCGAAGAATCCTACGAGACTTCCTCAACTGGATAGAAGTCCAGTATAGCTCCAAGACGAAGGTTATACGGTCAGATGGAGAGCTATTTAGCAAGGAAGTCCGGAAGGAACTAAAGCTTCGATCAATCGAACCGAAAAAGTCGGCCCCAAATACCCAGGCTCAAAATGGAGGCGCCGAAAGGTCAGGGGGTGCACTCACAGAGAAAGCGCGAACGATGCGAATAGCTGCAAACCTACCACATAATTTATGGAAGGACATTGTGGAAGCTGCCTGCTATCTAAGAAATCGCACACCACTGGAGCGCAATAAGTGGAAAAGCCCCTTTGAGCTAGCTTTTAAGAGACAGCCCGAAATAAGGCACCTTAGAGCCTATGGCTGCAAGGCGTATGCGATGACCGCAGAAGCCCAATTGAAGCTACGGAGGAAGCAGAAGCTTGAGCCGAGAGCACACATCGGATACCTCGTGGGATATCAATCCTCAAACAACTTCCGTATCTGGGTACCTCACAAAAATAAGGTCATTACCACAAGGGACGTTATTTTCAACGAAGCTAGTTTCTTCGATAACAAGCTAGTTAAGCCAGAGCTGATGCAGTCGATCAATCAGCTGCTTGAAGAAGTCGAAATACCGGAAACCCAACAGGTTAATGAGGCCATCCTGGAAGAAGAAGGCAACCACATTGCCGATGAAGATGATGACGATTCAACCGATCAAGAAGATCAGAGTGATCAAGAAACAATAAAAGATGTAATCGTCGTTAATACTGAAAGTCAGGATGACCCGGCTGAAGAGGAAGACTGCGAGAGCATGGAAGAAAACTATCTTCCAACCCCGCCACAGTCAGACCCAGATCTTGAAGACAGTCTTGACGCAGTCTTTACAGCTCATCTTCCGATTCGTCCTCGCGCCGGCCATCCTGAGGGGGTGAATAAAGTTGAGGGTCATGGTCCTGGCTGTTGCAATCAAAAGTTCAAGTCCAACCAAACAGACTATCGATTCCACGAATTTCACCCTATCCGTGTGGAAACAGCAGTCCATGGAGCGTTCAACGCAGGAATCAAATTCAGAGCCCACAAGAGGGACCTGCCGCAGCCTCCAAAGACGAGAAAGGATCTCGCAGACCATCCATTTAGAGACCAATTTATCAAGGCACAGCAAGAACACCTAGCATCACATGAGCAGATGCAATCCTTTGTGAAAGTCCCCTGGGCAAGGGCCAAAGGTCAAAGAGTTCTAAGCTGTATGTGGGTCTTCACATATAAGACTGATAGACACGGCTACCTTGTACGATGCAAGGCACGATTAGTTGTATGTGGCAACCAACAAGAAAAGGGCGTTCTGCCAACGCGAGCCACAACGCTAGCCAGTATGTCTTTTAGGGCCCTGATGGCAATAGCAGCAGAGCATGATCTCGAGCTTGAACAAATGGATGCGGTGAATGCATTCGTGAATTGCAAGCTAGACGAGACGGTATATATGAAGCTACCGCCAGGGTATGAGAAATACGGCAAAGTATTGAGGCTACGAAAAGCCCTCTATGGATTAAGACGATCACCCTTGTTATGGCAGAAAGATCTGACTAAAAGCTTGCAAGAGCTCGGTTTTCAGATTGTGCCACAAGAACCCTGCATCATGACTAAAGGGTCAGTGATCGTCTTCTTCTTCGTTGATGATATCATCTGGGCATACCGAAAAGCGGACCAAATGCTAGCAAAGGCAGCAATAGAACGTCTAAAGAATAGGTATCAGATGATCGAAATGGGAGAGCCAAAATGGTTCTTAGGCATCCACATCTTGCGGGATAGAAACCGTAAGACGATTTGGTTGACTCAGGATGCCTATATTGACAAGATCGCAAATAAATTCGCCGTTGATCTTAGCAAGAAGCCAGCCACGCCAATGGGGCTAGAAGAACTGCTCAAGTCAAGCGCACAAGCAACCAAGCAGTCAATTGATCGATACCAACAAAAAGTCGGGTCAATGCTGTTTGCAGCTATATCCACCAGGCCGGATATTGCGTTTGCGGTGGCTAGGCTTGCAAGGCATAACCAGAATCCAAACGAAGTACATCATAAGGCTGCTGATAGAGTGATCCAGTATCTCTATTCAACAAGGTCTTATGCAATCCGCTTAGGCAGCGGTAACAGGACCAGAAAAGGCACGCAGAGCGTCAAACAAGTTGACACATTCTTATGCGCAAGTGATGCGTCATTTGCAGACAATACAGAAGACAGGAAAAGCTCACAGGGCTATGTAATGAGGTTGTACGGTGGGGCGATAGCTTGGAGGGCATCGAAACAGGCCACTGTTACAACGTCAAGTACAGAAGCCGAGCTATTAGCTGTATCAGAAGCAGCCAAAGAGATGATATTCACTAGTCGACTGCTACGAATTCTGCAGATCAGACTAGATGAACCTTTGTTGCTTGAGTGTGATAACCAGCAGACTATTCGGCTGCTATCAGAAGAAGCTGCCAAACTAACAACAAAGCTGCGTCATGTTGATATTCATCAGCATTGGCTGCGACAAGAAGTTCAGGGAGGAAGAATTAGCGTACGATGGGTTGAGACCAGTAGGATGGTGGCGGATGGGATGACAAAGATGTTACCCAAGGTTCGGCACATTGAATTCATCAAGCAGCTACAGATGGAAGATATCCGTAGCCGAATAGCCACAGAGGCCTTGATGGAAGAAGCCCGAGAGAAGCTGCAGGAACAGCTTGCTAGTCGGGACCCTGACAAAGACAACGGACGAGACCTCGAGTTGAAGCTGGGGGCAAGAGGCGGCCGGCTTACAGGAAAGCTGAAGAGAACAGCCCTAGAAGGGCCCTGCAGCTCGTCAACAGAGGAAGTTCGTTGTAGCTAGAGACTTATTATAAGAGACTCCAGCTAAGGGGGTGTGTCGGATAATGGTGCCTCTGTTGTCTGACCACGCAACCGTTTTGCTGCCTGGGGGGCAAAAGCAGTCGTAATACTGCTGCCTAAAGGCAGCAGTATTCCGAAAAGTATTAAGGACCTTGAGTTTCCGCTGTGTAGGAAAAAAGACAGATTCAGGAATATACAAGAAGTGCAACCGCGTAACGCGACAACACTACCTCCTCAGACCTGGTTAGCCGAGCGGGAGAAGGGGACCAGTCTTCTACCGCCCTGTTTTTCTGGCGGGGGAGGGGCGACAGTGGGCAAATCTGTCTGGAATCCATGATATTTTGTGGTCTTTCTGTATGGCATGCCAGGAACCTGATGGTTGGATGTGCGGAAGGCGATACCGTTCTGTTCAGCATGTCGGCGTAGCGGGACGTCGCAAACGTTGACGAGAAGATGGGCCGAGCGGCGAAGCACTGAAGACCCATATGTGGCCATGTGTTTTGTTTTTTAGAGGGGACAGTAATGTTTGGATTGTTTGGGCTTCGTCGTCGCACTATAGGAGGTGAGTTGTTGCCAGCTGTGGCCGCAGTCGTCGGCGGCAGATGCGTGGTTTTCGTGGCGTGCTCGTGAATTTCGCGCTCCTTTCCCGCCCGCCATCGCAACGAGATCTCTATGGAAGTCAAAACACCACAGGGGAAGATGTTATGACCCGTTGAGGCGCATTGCGACCGCGGGCGGGAGTGCTGTGTTCCTCGAGTGGCTGTTGTTTCAAAAATTCGTTCTCGCTGTTTTTTGACGCCATTAGTTCATCAAGGATTATCCCGCAACCAGGCGCGGCTTCACTACCGCAATGCATGTGATCGCCCGAAGGCTACTGTCACATGCTACTTCTGTCCGAGTAAATGCGGTCATATGTTACTAGCTAGGTTTTTTAAGTAGTTTAAGGCTCAGGGCTGAATAGCCGGTCTGCCAGGTTTAACTACTGGCTATCTTCCTCCGTCTTGACAGCCGGTTCTGCGACTTGGCGCCTTGCTGTTTGTTGCAAGGATGCCTACATGGCCGCGATCCAAGGCGAAGTCTTGGGCCATATCACTTAACGGAAGGCTTCTATCCTTGTTTCTTTCTTGACAATTTGACCACGCCAAAATGCTCCTTGAACGGGAAGTGATCAAGGAAGAGGGCTAGATTTTCTGTGCGGAGATTGAGAAAGCGCCAACAACCAGACACTGCTCCTCTTTTCGCCCCAGGAAG